TTTGCAATTGGAGCTATATTATCTCAGGATCAAAGAAAAGAACAACAACCTGTAGCATATGAATCTAGAAAACTAACCTCTGCTGAACAAAACTATCCTATTCATGAAAAAGAATTACTTGCTATTGTACATGCAATTAAACTATAGAGGCTTTATTTGGAAGGACAACATTTTATTGTAATTACTGACTATGCATCTTTGGAGTATATAAAAACATAACATAACATATCACGTTGACAAGCTCGCTGGCTTAAAACCTTACAAGTAAATGACTTTGAAGTTCGATACAAACTAGGCAAAACAAATATTGTAGCTGATACATTATCTTGCCAACCTCACCTTGCAAATATCACAACACTTTCTACTCAACTAGATGAAAACTTAACTGAAAAATATCAAGAGAATTCTTATTTTTCTGAAGTCTAGAAATCTTTAACAAATCTTACTACTATACCTGAAAAACAACTTGCACGATCTCGTAATTTTGAATTAAAGGATAGCAAAATCTATCTTAAAGGAACAACTAGGCTGGCTATACCTAATAATAAGGAACTTAGAAAACAAATCTTAATAGAACACCATGATATTGACATCTTTGGACATGTTGGTATTGATAAAACCTATGAAAATATCTCTTGAAACTTCTACTGGCCTAAATTATCTAAGGATATTAAAAGATATATCTTAAGTTGTGATCAATGTCAAAGGAATAAAGGAAGCATTCAACAACCTGCTGGACTTCTACAACCCTTAGAAATTCCAAAACACTACTGGAAACAAATAGCTATGGACTTCATAGTACAACTACCTCTAACTTGTCAAGAAAATGATGCTATTGTAGTCTTCACTAATCGTCTAACCAAACAAGCTCACTTTCAACCTATACATACCACTGCAACTGCACCTAAAGTTACCAAAATATTCTTTAATACTATCTTTAAGAATCATAGAATTCCTAAAGTAATTGTATCTAATCGTGATGCCAAATTTATAAGTCATTTCTAGAAAAGTCTCTTTAGTCAATTGGGAACTAAACTTGCTATGTTAACTACTTTTCACCTACAAACTGATAGACAAACTGAAAGGTTAAACAGAACCTTAGAGGACATGTTAAGGATCTATGCAACCTATAAACAGAATACTTGGGATAAATACTTACCTGCTGCTGAGTTTGTATACAATTACTCTAAACAAGCTTCAACTAGCTTTACACCTTTCGAACTTGACAATGGACAATACCCTATTATACCAGGACCCCGAATAATCTATATGAGGTTATATTTGAAAAAATGCTAATAGTATACCTTTTTTTAAAAAAGGTTATATTTGTAATTTAGGTATTAGAGCTAAAGGTTATATTTCAAAACAGATAATCAATTTTTAGACTATATTTAAAAATTTGCTAATAATAATATTTTTAAAAATCTTATATTTAATTTTTTGGTAACAGTAATATAAAACGATAATATAAAATGATAAATATTTAATTAGTAATCAGAAACTTTTTAAATACTACGAGCCTGAATCTTGTTTTATTCATAGTCAGTAATAATGATGATAAAATCTCAGCACTTTTTCTTTTTCAATTTCTTCCGTATCACTATAAACAGAAGGAAACGTCGATGTTACATGACTGATCTTTTACCCAGTGTGCAATATATAAAAAAATTATTTTACAATACCAGATCATTCTGCTAGTATATGTTATGATTATAATCTAATACGATTTTATTATAATAAAAATGGTCATAATCATAACATGTACTAACAGAATAATCTGGTATTGTAAAATAATTTTTTATAAGTTGCACACTGGGTGAAGGATCAGTCGTGTAACTTCAATGTTTCTTCCTGTTATAAACAATTGAGTTTATGCTAACTAGTAGTTTTCTGTTTGCATACTGTAATGTCAGGGAATTAGAAATCGATAAAATAAATTATTCTCATAGCAATCTCAGTTAGGTTAGTAATTACTGTGAGAAAAGTTTTAATTATGCATGCATGATTTTAACTTGCATATTGGTTTTGTTCTCATGATATAGTAATTACCTGTTGCATACTGTAATGTCAGGGAATTGGAAATCGATAAAATAAATCATTCTCATAGCAATCCCAGTTAGGTTAGTAATTACTGTGAGAAAAGTTTTAATTATACATGCATAATCTTTACTTGCGGTTTCCATGGTATAGTAAGAGGTTTGATATTATCACTTTTGTTATTTCTTTATTATAATACTGCATATAAAGTAAAGTTTCACTGTATCATAATTACTAAAATGTTAGTTTATACTTGAGTAATAATTTTATTTCCAAATTTACGCTAGGCCAAATCTCTAGTTTGGATTTAATAAAATGAAGATATAATATTACTTATTCATGAAATTATAATAATTCTTTTTTTATAAGATATGAAAAGAATGATATTGTATTAGGGGCATCATTTATACAAATTATTTTTAACAATTAACAATACTAATTTGGCTTAAAAGCTTAATTAAAAAAAAGAAGTTTATTAATGCTAAATAATACAACTGATTAAATACTCTTTATAATTTTAATCAATATAAATATTTTGTTTTTCTTTTAAATTTAAAATTTTAAAATTTTTTGAACATTTTTAGTGCGCCTATCATACGTTATTTCTTGCAAATATATAATTTTATAAATAACTAAGTATACACTTGAACGTCTTCAAAAACATTCTAATGTTTCTCAAGTAATTGAAAATGGCATGGCTGTTATCTGTATTTGCAGAAAGCGAATTACTCTTAAGTCAAAATATAATAAATCATATCTTGATTCTCATGTTAATAGACCAGGATGTAATCGGTCTAAAGGAATACGTGCTATAACAGAGTTTTTTGTTCCAGCAGAAAAAACAGTAATTCCAGAACAAAAGCATATATTTTGTAAAGGATTGCATGAAGATATTCATATTAATTATATTGAACGAGTTCAATTTATTTCATTATATAGTGATGCACTACGTAAAGAAACTATCGCACGATCTATGTTTTCAGATTTGTTTTCAGAAAATACTTCAGTTCGATATGCATTACTTAATAAAGATCAACGTGAACAATTAAATGAAGCTGAGAGAATGCAGGCAAAATGGAAAATTGAAGAAAAAGCAATATATGCACAGCTTTGTGAAACTTATACTTCAAATATTTCTGAAGTTTGCAATCAATGTATTTCTCTTAATACAGATCAAGTTTTTCATGTAAGTTATTTAATTTATTATAAAAATTAAAGTATATATAAAAAATTAATATATTTTCAAATTAGAATGCCTTAAATAAGCGACCACCAGTTAGAGAGAATAAAAAATTTATACCTAAGGCTCATCTTAGTTCACATTCACTTAGTAATTATCTTTCTAATCCTGATATTGCTATGCTTGTATCACTTACGAAATCTGATGAAAGTCAACCTGTTTCATTTTGGAAAACACTTGCTAAAATAGGCGAATGTAGTGCTTTTCATAAAAAAAGAGCCTTTGAAGGCTTGTGTGAAGTTATGGTTGAAATAGCAAAACGGCATGAAGCAGGAAAAGGTTTACAAAATTTAACATATTTAGAAAAGTTTTCTGATTTTATATCGATTCTTGCATCATTAAGTCCACGAGCATATAACCTTTTTCGACAAAATTTAGCTGGAAAAACAATTCAAAATATTAGGTATAAAATTATAAAATTCAAATACCGTAAAAACAGGGCATATGCACATTATTTCACATTATTTTGAGTATGTTATTTTGAATTAGAAGTTAATTTTCTTATTTGCAGCATATAAAATTCATAAAGTAGATGCTAAGCTTAGCATAAAATGAATTTAGTTTATGCTAAACTTAGCATGAACCGAATTTGGTTTATAAGCTTAGCATAAAACGAATTCATTTTATGCTAAGCTTATAAACCAAATTCAGTTCATGCTAAGATTAGCATAAACCGAATTCGTTTTATGCTAAGCTTAGAATTAGATGCGCATTATTTTGAAATGCATATAGGCATTATTTCGAAACCAATTATGTTATTTTTAAGAGTCATTATTTTCGAATTAATGCCTATGCCTATTATTTTGAGTTTTTACGATATTAAATTTATTAAAATTTAAATTATTTTATAACTAGTATTTTTCTATTATAGATTACATAGATCACGTTCTGAATATGCACTTCATGATACTAATCTTTGTTATGAAAATGTTGCACGAGTTAAGTGATTAGTAGATATACTTCAATATAAAGGACTATTAATAGCAATGACGGATAATACAAAACTTAAAGAACAGCTTAGATATTCATCTCTTCTTGGTTGTATAGTTGGTTCAACGCTTCCAATTTCAGAAACCTGTGTACAAAATCATGATGATATTTATACAATTGTTGATAAAATTCAAACAAAAAATGCAATTGCTTCACAAGTCAGAGTATATTTATTACAAGTAAGTTATAAACTTATAGTTTATTAAAAATTATATATTGATATATTTTTTAAATTTTATAATAATATATTTTTTTTAATATTAATTTTAGATTCCTATATCAAAATTTCCACCATCAGTAATTGCATTAATTCCAAACTATGGTAAAGAAAATGCTGAAGATATTTTTAATATACATCAAAATTTGCTTCAAATCGCTGCTCAATTAAAACTTTCAATTTTGGCATTTGGTGCTGATGGTGCTTCTCCAGAGTTTAATGCTCAAAAAAAGATTATGAAAATTGCAGCATTACATAAACTTGAATTTTATGATGATCTATATAGTAAATAATTATATTATTTATATACTATATATTTATTTATTATATATTATTTTTTATATACTAATTTTTAATTTTATATAGATATTAAATTTAGCTGTCCAATTATTAAAGATGTTGGTCCTGTTATATGTATTACTGATCCACTTCATGCTAAAAAAGATGCAAGAAATGCATTATTCTCTGGTGCACTATTATTAACTCTTGGCCATACTACAGTACGTTATGATAATATATTAGCATTAAATAAAAATTCTAATAGTATATTATACAAACGAGATGTTGAAAATGTTGACCGCCAAGATAATGGAGCTGCATATCAGCTATTTTGTTCATCATTACTTAAACAAATATCTGATCAAAATTTTTTTGTTGATAAAACTAAAATGGGTCTTTTTATTTATCTTTATATATTTGGTAATTATATTTTATAATTAAAGTTTCAAGTCTAATTTTTAATGCTAATTTAATTTTTAATAAATAGGTGAACTTATAGATGCATTTCAAAATCGAGAAATAAAACCTTTAGATCGATGCTATATGGTTATGCTTAGTTATTTTTTTTTAAATAGTTGGAAACATTATATACAAGTATGCGCAAATTCAAGTTTTGATTTTATGAGTTTACAAAAAAATTTTTTAGCAAATAGAACATTCGATATTTTAACAAGTCTTGTAGAATCAATGGTAAGCTTTTTAATTTAAAATTTTAATATAAATTAAATTTAATTAATTTTATTTTAGATATTACTTGTTATTGCATATCGTGATTTTTATCTAACATATCCATTTGCAGCATGGATGTATGGTTCTGAAGGCTGTGAACATTTTTTTGGACTAGCACGTAAATTATTACCAGATTTTTCTTTTAATGATCTTATTGCTTTAGTTCCTAAAGTATCATATCTTTATAAAGCATATACATCTGAATCAATTTCAATTTTTAAAGAAAAAACTTTCGCATCTGGTATAATTATATTATATTAGTATTATATGAATACTGCTAAAGAAAAATGTGATTTCAGTTTTTTAGTAAATTATTTCTATATAACATCGACATATTAAATATGTCACTAATCATATTTTTCAGAGACTTTATATAGAATATTATATAATTTAAAGTCTAATATATCATGAACTAAATCAAAAATAATTTACTAAAAAACTGAAGTTATATTTTTTCTTAATAGCACTCGTATACTATATATTTATTATTAATTTATATTTTATAAGTTATTTTTCTCATTATCAGGATGATAATATTTATAAACATCTTAATAATTTGCGACAATAGCCTACTAATGAAGAAATTAGAGCTATTATTCATCAAGTATTTAAACATTCTAAAATACTAACTGAGGATATTTTAAATATGGCAACTATTTCTTTTCAATTCTATAATCCGTTAATATTTGATGATGAAAATAATAGCGATGAAATATTAAATAATATTAATTCTAATCAAGAAAGTTTAGATAATATTATTAATATTGAAAATGTTTTTATTTCAGTAGCTGCAACTGAAATTAATAATGATAACTGGGAATTACCTGATAGTTCTAATTCTGACTACGAAGAAGGGCGATTAAATCTTTCATTTATTTCACAATCATTATTAAATTCAACAATATCGATTATATCAGATATATTAGATAATGAATCATTTATTAAAATAAATGATATTAATAACGAGAAAGTAGCTGTATTAGCTTTAATTAAATTGTGACAACAGTATGAAGCTTATACAAGTCAGTCAATAGAGCGTCGAATTAGTAGAAATCAAAGTCAAATACCAGAAAAATTAAATTCAAATTATACTCAAAGTTTAGTAGCATATCTTTCATCTAATGAAACTTCACGTCCAGGTTAGTATTTTAAATTAGATTTTTAATTTATTGATTTATGACTAGAAAAACTAGTTTTTTGATCTTTTGATATAAAAATACTAGATAATCTAAATTTTTATTAAAACAAAACTTTGGTTTAAGCATCTCACATCAAAATCGATGGAAATTGCGATCTCGATTAGATAATTTATTAGATTCTAATACTAATTCTAATAATCAACAATCACTTAGTATATAATTTATAATATTAATATTATATTTATATATTATTTGGATTATTTAATTATTCTAATATTTATTTATTAGGTATTCCAAATATTACTATTGCGAATATTAATGAAACACATTTGATAAAACAAGGAGGATTTGCAATTGCATATTATAAAGAAAAAATTTGTATTATATATATACTTGCATTTTATTATAAAAATAGCAATTATCATTCATTTATTTTTCAACATCATTCAATTGATAATTTATCTTATATTTCAACTAAAGTATTTTTTCCCCTTCAACATAATATTTTTTCATGTTTGTCTAGTTTAGGTTATTCTATTTTTTCGCATATACCTTCATCTGCTATTCTTTATTATTTAGGAGTTGGAAATTTTTTGCATTTTAATGAAAACTTAGGATTATTAACAATTTCAGAAAAGGCATTAGATTTATTTGAATATTTTAACAATACAGAAACAAAAAAAAAGTTAAATATTATTTTAAACAACAAAAATTAAATTTAAAAATATTATAATAAAATTTTATTATTTCTATTATCTTATATTTAAAAAATCGCTAATATTAATAAAATATTTTATCTAATATTTAATTTTTTGCTAACAGTTATTAATATAAAAGTGCTAATGAAAAAAATTTTTTATAAGATACTCAAATATAACCTTATATAGATTATTCAGGGTCCTCTACTATCTAGTAAAACTACTTAAAATGACTGACTACGTGAGGAATAAACTACAAGGCTATGATAAGCCAGTAGCAAGAACTGCAACAAGTCAGTTTCAAGGTTATACTGGGCCCTTTGGCCGTCTGACTTTGGTGGGGCG